GTTTGCCCCGCATACCTGCTCCGCCTGGAGCTGCGGACAGTGGCTGCTGCACACGCGAGGCAGGAGGCAGGAAGGGCCACCCTCCCTCCCGGGGCAGCTGTCCTTGCCACCTGCTTCTGATAGGGCGCCACTCTTGGGGGCACCTCCCTCCTTCCGTAGGGCAGGCGGTCCTCAGCGGACCAAGAGGTGGGGGATATTCCAAACTCTTCCTTCCATCTCCCCCTGGGATCTCACAGTTTCCTTGAGGCAATATTTAGCTTCCAAGGTAAACAGGAACCATTAAGGGAGGAACAAATCAAAAAGAGCCCTTTTCTCACCGATTGACCCAAAATGAACAAGCATTGTCCACCCCAGTGGATTTGCTGTGAAAAAGTACCATGTGGAAGAAATGGTCAATACTTTGCAGCCGTTTCTACAATGAGCCTGTGTTTAGCAACACTCGGCTTTGTTTTATTATTGCATTTTACGAAGTTACCAAGACAACTGAGGCCAAGTAACAGAACCTTGACTTTATGTGCCATGAAAATTTAATAAAGAGTGTTAAAAGGCTTTTCAGAGGCAGGAGCTGCAGCAGAGTCCTGCCTGGAGGGAGGACGGCTGGAGCGCGGGGCCCCTGCGGCACCTCGAGGGGCCCCTCTGGCGGGGATGTCCAGGTGGGCACAAGGGTTCTCTGGCATCCGTCCCGTTCTAGCATATCTCAACAGACATTTGTCAAGGTAGCTCCCAGACACCAAGTCCGGTGACAGGCTCCTCATGTTCATGAGGACACCATGGCCACCTTAGGGGTCCAAAAGAGGGCAGAGAGGTGAAGTTGCCGGTGAGAGAGTGTGACTTAAGGGGCAGCAAAAGCAGGTCTTCGGTTTCCCGTTGTCATGCAAGAGGTTCCGCAGGGAAAATATCCAGGCTGCTTCCTCCATCCCAGGCCGAGGCCTCGATCCTGCAGCCTGGGAGCGTCCCAGGGGAGCCCCAGCAAGGAGCAGCCAGGGTCCCCAAGGCCCAGGACCGCGGTCCTGGTCGGAATCCTCGCAAGCACCTTCACTTCAGAGGACGTTTCCCAGGAGCCTCTGGGGACAGGTTATGTCACCCCAGGGCTGCACAGAGCCCCTTTTTCCTCGGATCTCTAAATAAGACTCAGAAGGAAATTGCCAGAAATGAGAAAATCATCAGTAATTTTGCCATTTTATACAAAAGCGTGATGGTGTGTGTGTGTGAGCATTGGGCTGCGTGGTTTTCCTAGTTATATAAACGTCAAGACTTTTGGTTACTACAGACTGAGGTAATGGAGTAGGGTGAGTGTTCTGCAAAGCTCCTTCGTCCCTGGGAAGGGAAACACATTTTGGGTTTATTTCATGAGGGAGAAATCAGGATGCCATCTGGGAAAATCCTGCTCCCGTTCATCACACCGAATAGAAGACTGGCCAAAAATCTCAATTAGGGCCAGGCGGGTTTTAGGTCCCTTGACCTCGCTGAGAGAGGAGAACGGCTCCCTCCACCGCTGGGACACCAGCTCCCCAGCAAGAGATTTCATCATTTCTGAGCTTCGAGGGAAGCTGCTCAAACGCCGGCCATTTCAAGCCCAGTGTCCAATTATAGGGCCGAGGAGTTTAGGACATTAATCAAGAAGTAAAAAAAAAAAAAGAAAAGAAAAGACGGAGGCTATTTTGGCATAATACTCTGCCAGTCACAAGGCAAATTCCGGGTGTTGGAGCTACAGCTGAGGCCATTTTTCAGCCTCGAGTGTCCTGAGGGTGAGGTGGAGAGGGAGAGGAGGTGCCTCTTTGGGCTTAATTCGTCCTGACGGATGACAACATTCAAGCAGGAAAGTTTTCCTTCATCCCTTCACACATTTTTCAGAAACCAGAGACCTTTGAGCCCCACCTTTGTGTGTCTTTGTGTTTGCTGTGTTTGCGTTTGCTGTTTCTTGTCTTTGCCCCCAGGGACCAGGTGAGTGAGGGCCTGTCACCCCCTTGTGTGGCTGAGGGACTTTCCGCTCGGCCCCTGGAGCCCCGCTGGGGTGCGCAGCACGAGAAGAACAGGTGGGCAGCCCCTGGGAGCTCCCAGAAGCCCGGGTACGAGCTGAGCCACCCCCCCCCACCAGCCTCCCACATCTCTGAAGGGGGCTCCAGAGCCTCCCCGCTCCGGGTTTTGGAAGCACGGAGTCTCTGTGCAGAGCCATCACGGCGCCGAGAAAGGAGCACGGGGCTTCCCTGAGGGTCCCAGCTCTGCCCTTCTCTAGCCGCGAGCTTGGGACTGTCTGTGACGAGGGCGGTGAGAACCCCACCCCTCGCTGCGTTGTTGGAGGATCCGAGGGCAGGACGGCTGCACCAGACTTTGTAAACTGTGATGTGCGGAACAGGTGTTGCTAACGTCACGTGGGAAAGGGAGTTGGTTCTAGAAAGGCAGGAACATGGTTCCAAAGGTCTGGGCTCTAACCGAAACCAGTCCTAGCACCACTCCCACCACCCCCCCACATGCCCCAAGCATCTACATTCATGTGGGGATTATCTCTGAGCTCGCCAACCCCACACGGACAGATGGACGGATGGATGGACGGACGCAGGCGGCTGCAGAGCTGAAGAAACGGCCCCACTCAAGGGAGGAGCTGTAGGGAGTGTCATCCAGCCCGGCGAGCCTTAGTCTCTGAGGTCAACAAGACGGGGTGCTGACGGGGTGGGGGACACAGCCCAGACCTGAACCCAGGACAAAGGGACAAAGCACAAAGGAAAGACGGTCCAGGGTCAGAGGAGCCATTGTCTGCTCAGGTTCATGGGACAGAGGTGGCCCCAGGGAGCCAAACAGCCAGCTGGGGACACGGAGGGGTTCAGTGAATCCCTTGGCAGGGTTTAAAAATCCATGATTCTTAAGGGTACGCACAGGCTCGGGTCGGGGAGGGGAGCACCGCAACGCGCTCCTCCCCTGGGACTCGCTGAACATTGGTATCAACTCAACCGGCACCACAGGGCAAACATGATAACAGAACTTTCCAGATTCTCCCAAGTAGATGGAGGGAACAGTTCGTTCTGCTGGGGGTATTGCAGTGGGACGTGTGAACTGGACCTTGAAAATAAGTAAGTATCCGTCAGACGGAGGGAGGCCACCCAGGCATAGGGAACAGCTTGCGAAAATCAGAGCCGGAGTGGGTCCTCTTCCTGGGCCGGGGCCATGGCAGCAGGAAACAGCACGTTCTCTTCCTGGGGATGGGAGTGGGGGGGCAACAACAGATGGCGAGTGCCCCAGGAGCATGGGGGCCAGGACCCGGAGCAGGCCAGGCCGAGGCTGCCCCCTGGTGTGTGTGGGCCAGGATGGAAGGGAAGGAAGGGGCGGGATTAAGAGCGGCCTTGAACGCTGGGTTAAGGAGCAGAGGCTTAATCTGGACAGAGATGACAGCTGATTGAATTAGGGGATTGAGTGGTGAGCTCTGGGGTTCTCTGAGTTCCTTCGGAGCCACTGGGGATGGAGGATGGAGGATGAGTTGAACAGGGAGAGAGGCAGGAGGAGATGAAGTCCAAGCTGGGGAGAGTGGACAGGGACCCTCAGGAGAAACAAGAGGGCCCTTGTTGGGGGATGGAAGCTTCTATCTCCGGGACGCTCTGTCCCTGCACCTGGGATGGGGCTCGATAAGGGGTGGTTGCTAACAGCCCCGCTGGCTCCCTTGGGCATTTAGAAGCACCTCGAGTGGGCTCCACACTGGCCAGGCTGTGGGGACAGAGCTCCTGGCTATGACAGCAGAGAAGCCACGCACGTCTCGTCGGAGGATGGAGGGAGGGGAGCAGGATGGCCAGTGTGGAAGAGGAAGGACGCTGACCGAGGCAACAGCAGCAGCAAGACAGGCGTGGCCCTGTGGTGTCCCCCAAGCAGAACTCAGAGAGCCTGGTCTTCACCATTCACTGAACCCACTCTGGAGTGTGGGCCCTTCGGGGACTTTGGCTGGAGTATGTGTGTGTGTGTGTGTGTGTGTGTGTGTGTGTGAGACTCAGCAGGAGGGGGAGGAAGGGGCACTAGGGGAGAAGAGGGCCCAGGGGTGGATCCTGAGGGCCGTATCCTAGAAATGGGGTAACACAGGGCACAGCACAGGGGGCTCAGCTTCTCATGGGACATCTCTGGACCCCAGCTCCCCAGCTCTGGCTCCTCTCTTTAAGAGAAAGGGGACATCTGTCTTTGCTCTCATGTCAGCTGCACCCGGCAACACCGCTGGCCAGTTGTCCAAGGGGGGGGGCGTCCCCTGGGCCCCAAGGAGATGAGGTACTCTATCACTCTCCAGTAAGGGAGCAGCCTCTAATCCCTCCTGCTCAGCAGCATTGAGAAAGAAGGGCTCTGTCTGTCACTTACTGGCCTCATTTCACTGCGGGGTGCAGGGCTCAGCCAGGCGCTGGCCATAGGTGGGGCTCCTTTGAGAAAGAGACCTCAGGGTCTGGGCAGAGCCACCCTCCTGCAGATGACGTGCAAAGGTGGGAGACAGGACATTCCTCACTGTGAGAACTGACATTTTCAAATCATCCCAAACCATGCCACTTGAATTCATCCTATTGACCGCCCCCCCCACAATCCAATGTGCTTGGTTGATTTGGACCTGAAAACTGCACTCCATTTTGGCAAGTGAATGCTTTCTGAAAACAAAGTCAAAGCTTTGTTGCAAAGGCTCTGTGCTGCTCCCAGCTGCTAACAAGTGTGAGAGACACGTTCACTTGGGTCTTTCACGGGGAAGCCCTTTTGCTCCAGCAGCGACAGGGACTGAAGAACAGGCCTGGGGTCATCCCAGATGGCTTCTCTCACAGCACCACTCAGGAACACGGATGGTCCTAGCCCAGCCCACCAGACTGCAGGAGAGGGGGCAGGGCCCTGGGACACCCCAGGCTTCCCTGGAGCAGTTGCGGGGGGTTGGGGGGATTGGAGCTGGAGTCACGCTCACACAGGGACATAAAGGAAATGGGGCTCTGGGGTGGACCAACAGAATTGGACCAAGCTGACACTACAGATGACCCCCCCCCCAGGCCTTTCTTTTCCCATCTGAAAATGGGAACAGCAGTAGGAAACTACCCAAGGTGATTGGGGAGTCAGGCTGATGACTGTCCCCGAACAGGGGCATTCAGTAGCCTCAGCCTCCTCCCGCCCCTCCCATCTTAGGCCTCTTGTCCTGCTGTCTGTTTGGGAAAACAAAGTCATTACAGGAGGCTCTGGTTGACAAACAGCCCAGAGTGGGCTCTGTAGGGCTTGGTTTTCCAAAATGCCACCTTTGGAGGCCTCTGAGTCTTCCCCTCTGAGAAGGGCTTTGCCTGGGGACACGGAGACAAGGGAAGGGTCTCGTGGAAGGGAGCGTGTGGGCCCTCCTTTCCCTCATGCCACGCCCACCACCTGAGCTTCGGACATCATGTTCCTCTCTCGCTGGTCCTCCCCAGGGTCTTCTGTCCTCCACCCACCCAGGGCCCTCTGGCAGCACCTGCTGTCCACCTGCTGGCCATGCCCTATCTGTGCAGGGTGAGCCATCAGAAGCCACGTGACCGCGGGACACCGGCTTTGGAATCAAGTTCAAACAAAATCAAACAAAATGACCTCTGAGGCTCCCGTCAGCTTTAAGACTCTCAGAGCCTTCCTTAGTTACTCCTTGGTTAGTTATTTCATAATTAACAACAAAGCGAACACTGCAGGAACAGGCAAGCTAAACGAATAAAGGAGGCCGATCTGCTCACGGCACCCATGAAGCACATGATTGGGGACGGGAGAGTCGCGTCTGCCCGCGTGCCAGCGCCACTTGGTTCTCACAGCTCGCTGGGAGGAAATGAACATGATGTCCCTGGGACCGAACAGTTCTCTCGGAGGCCCCGGCGCCGCCCCCCTTGCCCCCTTGCCGGGCCGTGGCTTCCTCGGGGTCTCCTGCCACGGCTCAGGCTGGGGGTCTCGGCTGCCCCGTGCCCCCAGAGCAACAGTTCTGCCCGGTTGTTGCTTCCTGTGAGCCCAGAATAGATGCTGCCATCTGTCACGTTTGGGATGTCATATGTCCGCCGATGACTCACGAATCGCTGGGCCATCAAGAGGAAGGCGGGCGTGGAATCAGCCTCTCGAAGCGCGGCTGAGCGGCACATGGAGGCGAGGAGGGCCAGAGGAGGGGCTCTCCCGCAGGGGCTCTCCGCAGCCGGCCTCCCCTCTCCGCGGGCCAGAAGCCCAGAGGGTTCTCTTCGGCCCGGAGGGGCTCATTCTCCATCCGCAGCATCGAGGGGCCCTCAGGACAGTGCGTGTCTGGAGTGGGAGACCTTGTGGGTGCTGTTTGTGCAGGCCGGGGGGGTGCCCTGTGCCAGCGGGGCCGAGGAGGTGGCTTCCTGGGGGGTTCCGCTGTCCAGGGCCCGGGCCCCCGACGCGCCACTCCGGCCGCACACCAGGCGCTTCTCGTCCAGGAGGGAGAGGTGGTACTCGCACAGGTCGACCAGCGAGGCCACCTGCTTGTGGAGAGGCAGCATCTTGAACTTCCGCTGAGCCAGGTAAAAGAAAGCCTCCACGAAGCCCTGCAAGCACATGCCTGTGGACAAAGAGAGCAGCAGTGAGCGGGGCCAGGCCCCACGGCCAGGCCGCCTCCTCCCCCGCCGCTTCCCTTCTGGAACCTTCAGCTTCGAGGTTCAAGTCCCAGAGCGCCTACCCTGTGCCGGGCACCAGCCGGGCCTTCACCACCATCTGCGGATCCAAGCCCCTCATCAGTCCTCTGAGGTAGGCTTAATTCACACGGTTTGACAGACTGAGTCTCAGAGAAGTGGAGCTGTCTGGGCCACGTCATGTGGGCGGAAGGTGGCGGAGCTGGGATTTCAACCCCGGCCGAAGCCTTATTCCTCCGCACCGGCCTCACAGGTCCGCTTTAAAACCCAGCCCCTAAGTTTTCTAACAGTGAAGAAAGTAAGTTACGGAGAGAAACCTGAAGGTTTTCACTCTTGACAGAGGTGCTGGTTTCATGGGTGCCTTGTCAAAACTTAGCCATTTTTACCTTAAAATGTGTGCATTTTGCTGTACGTAGATTTCACCTCAAAGAGTAAAATAAACCTGACCCCCTTCTCTCTACCCAAAATGCTATTCTAGACAGCAGTCCCACCACGTCCCTGTAACGTTCTTCTCTGACTTCGCCTCCCAAGTTCCTACTCGTCCTTGGGATCTGAGCTCAAAAATCTCCAGCTCAGTGAAACTCTCCCTGATCCCCAGATTAGATGTGGCCCCTGGCACCCGCTTCCTGCATTTTCCTTGGCGGCACGGACTGTGGCTTCTTTCCGTGTTTGTGCGGTCGGTTCTTCAACCGTCTCTATCTTCCCTGCTGGGCTGTGAGCTCCAGCTCGCCACTCGTCCCCTGGTACCAGACCCTGGGGGCTCCAGATAGAATGTGTACACGAGGGCATGAATGGATGAACAAATGAGTTTGCGCTAGGTACTTCACTGACCTTGCCATTCACGACACCTTTTTGAGATCAGTGTTCTTATGTCCCACTTTACAGATGAGGAAACTAACATTCAGAGAACATTCAGGCCATGAATGTTCCGCCCTGAACGTTCATGTAGGCCAGATAATAGTGACCTTGCAAATTCAAACTTTGACTCTCAATTCTTTTTTTCCTTTTCTTTTCTTTCCTTTTTTTTTTTTAAAGATTTTACTTATGCAAGATAAAGATCAAGAGAGAGCACAAATGGCAGGGAGGAGCAGAATCCCTCCTGAGCAGGGAGCTCAACGTGGGGCTCAATCCCAGGACCCTGGGATCATGACCTGACCGAAGGCAGACGCTTAACTGACTGAGCCATCCAGGCGCCCCTTAACTCTCACTTCTTTTAACTAAGTTGTGCTGCATGAAAAGTTCTGAGTCTTTTCAATGTCCAAGTGAAAATGAACCCCACGATTCAAAGTCATGGGATTCCTGGGCTCCTCAGGGCTGGTGACGCTCAGTATTGTAGAGGAGGCCGGCTTCACCCCTGCTAATCCATACCTTCCCAGTGGCCTTGCTTCCCGGCTCACCGCATTATTTAGGCTGCTGTCCTCAGGGAGAAGCCTGGCTGGGAGTTTGTAAATCCTGGCTTATATATGGACCCTGGGATCTGAGAGCTCTTTTTTGTTGGGAACTGGCGCAGAGCAAAGAAGCTGTTTCTTTGTCTCCTTCCAAGTCCATCAAAGCTTTTTTGCTCAGCTTTTCTGGACTCCAGATGCTCTGCCAGTGCCCTGCTCTGTTTGGCTCTGATGGGAGATGCTGATAAAGGGAACAGTAACCGTGGTGTAAAACCCTTTTAATGTAAACAGCGGCCTGGTGCAGACAGAGACACAGGGCCAAGGGGGGCTCCATCTGCTTCAAGAGACCGATATTTCTGGGGTGCCTGGGTGGCTCATTTGGTTGGGCATCCGACTCTTGATTTTGGCTTGGGTTCTGATCTTGGGGTCAGGAGATTGAGGCCTGTGTTGGGCCCTGCACTCAGCAAGGAGTCTGCTCCAGATTCTCTCTTTCCCATCCCTCTGCCTTCCCTTGGCATGAGTGCATGCTCTCTCCCTCTTTTTCTTTTTCTCTCTCTCCTAAATAAATAAATCTTTAAAAAAAAAAGAGAGAGAGAGAGAGATATGGATGTTTCCTAATCACCGACAATGGGCCAGGGCTCTCCTAGATCGTGTGCATGAATGGGCATTTGTGCCGGCACGGGCGCTTGTCACCGGCAGTGGGAGGGGCAGACCCGAGCAGGCTGGAAGAGGCTGGGATCCAAAGCCAGAGAGACCCAGCACAGCCCCAGCCCCCAGCGGCAGAAGTGTGTGATCTCACCCGCGCTACTCAAAGTGTGGTCGGCAGACGGGCGCCCAGTCCAGGGACTGTGTGTCCCTGGTCCCTGACGAGATAAGGAGCCTGGGCCAGAATATAAATCACCCTCCTCATCACTCACATTGTTTAGCTCAGCTGGCAGTACTTTGTAGCCAGTCTTTCTCTGTAAAGGAAGCAGCGGGCATTTACATTCTGGCTCAAGCCTCTTGTCCAGGACGAGAAGGAACAGTGGGTGGACTGCGGCTCCGAGCAGCCCTGGTCTACGGCCCTTCTCAGCTTTACGTGCATGACCTTGTCAAAATGCAGATTCTGGGGCGGGGCCTGAGACTCTGCATTCCTAACAAGCTTCCTGGTCGTGCCCGTGCTGCAGTAGCGAGCACTGAGCACCTTTTACTCAACAAATATTTGTTTCCTTCCCTTAATTAAGTGCATAAGGCTGTGTTAAAGCTGTAATGCTCAGGGGAAAAAGAAAAATACAGGGACTTTTTTGGGGGGGAAAAGTATTATGGCTAAATCATCTGGAAGAAAACGTTCTACAATGAGAAATGAGATTTTGTGTGTTCTACTTGGTTTTCTTTATGCTTGTCTACATTTCCTGATTTTCTATAGGAATCACATACCTTATTTTGTCTTTTTATGGGGAATCTAAAAAAAAAAAAAAACAAACAAACCCACCAAACGAACAAACAAAAAGCGAACCAGACCTATAAATACAGAGAACGAACTGATGATTGCCAGACATGGTAGGGGGCGGCAGTGGTGGACGAAACGGGTAAAGGGGAGATACAGGCTTCCCATTATGGAATCAATACCTCATGTACCCAGTTGTAAAATATGCAACGGGAAATTCTAGAGGGCCGAAAGAGGCGGCTAAGCAGTGGCAGCCACTTTTAATCGTGAACCCTTTGCTACTATTGGAATTTGAAGTTAAGGGCACATATGACTTTGAAGAAAAGGCAGAGTGCCAGCTTCCTGCATACATGTTGTACTTTGATAAAGGTTATATACATGCAGGGAAAACGGAAGCGGAAGGGAAGGGCGCTGCACACTATTGACAGGAGTCAGGCTGGCTGTGCCAGGCGCTCAGATCCTGAGTATGACTCCCATCGTGCAGATGAGGAAACAGAGGCCCCGAGAGACGAAATAACTTGCCCTCCAGCCCCATGCTGGTAAGTGGCTGGTAAGTAACTGGAATTTGAACCCAGGCCTCACACACTGCTGATTCTGCATCTGATTCCTGCAATAAGGAATGCGCAAAGCAGGTAGGGCTCTGATGGCAGAGATGAGCTGGGAGCAGTGGGCTTGGCTGGGAACAGGGAGGTGGGGCATGTGGCCTAGTCAGAACCCAGGGTGCCTGCAGCAGGACAGGTGGAGAAGGGCGCAGCTGGACGAGATTGGGAAGGGCTGGAAGGCTGGGGGACAAGCCAGTTGTGGAGTTCCAGGCCTAGAACAGTCTGAGCATATCCTCCAGTCAAGGGGTGTGTGTGTCCTATTTTGTTACAGCGATAGAAACATCATGGGATTTGCTTGTTTGTCTTAATTCCTCAAATGAAATCGTGTGTGTGTGTGTGTGCGGGGGTGGCTTGGAGCCCTGCCCTCCCAGACCGTCCTCACCAGAAACGACTCATCTAAGGGAATCTTGGTTCTTCATACCCAGCCGAGCACCAGCCCTCCCGTTGCTCTAAAAGCCTCGTCTGGCACCTGCATTTTACAGAAGAGGGGACCGGGAAGTGAGGCCCAAGTCAGAGCCAGTGACTGGCAGGAGCAGGACTAGATCCCAGGTCTCCTGACCTCAAACAGCACCACCACGACCAGCATAAGAAAGCAAAGCCGACACTTCTCAGGCCAGGGATTGGGGACAAGGGCTGAGAGCCCCGCATTGTCTGCTCAACCCTACTGAGTGTGTCTAAGAGAGTCTGAAGGCCAGGGAGGCTTGGAAGAGGGATGCCCCCAAACTATACACCACGAGGACACAGGTGGCTGGCTCCCCCCACAGCCAGGCTGAGGGGCTGTAGGTTTGAGTTTGATAGGACGTGGTTCTTGCATCTCATTTCATCCAGTGGCCCAGGAAGTGGTGGCCAGAGCCGGGTCAATATTCCCTGTGCTTGAGAGAATGGAAAGTGCTTAAGTCTCTGTGGGCTAGGGGTGGGAGGAAGAGGGAGGAGGAAATGTACTGGAGATAATCCAAGTTACCTTCTGGGGGGCGGGTGCCGGTCTCTCCTGCCTTTTCCAGATCCTCCACGGACAGTCCCCATGTTCTCTCTGGGTCTTTTCCCTTCCTTCTTACTATTTATTATAAAATACAGTGACAGTGCCAGCAGAAAGCACAGGAAAGCTCACGAATGTCCTCCCCTCTAGAAACTAAGTGTCCTTGATGACTGACCTTCTCTCCACTCTCTTTGTCCACGGAAGATGGGCTTTCACTCAATTGTAATATACGTGTACAAAATTTTGTACCTATTATGGCTTAAAACGATAGCATAAATATTTTTGTATGTTGCTATGCAGGCTTCATAACATTATTTTAATAGTTGTATAATATTCCATCAAACCTTGCTTTGCATACCATTTCGCCATACCCCCCCACCGCTAGATGCTGAAGCTGGTTCTATTTTCTTCACTATTTTTGAGAAGTAGATCAGAAGCACTTGGTATATCACTGTTTTTATTTCTGATTCGTGTATTCTCTTGCAATGAAACCCTAGGAATCTGGGTTGGGTTTTTTTTTTTTATGTTAAGTCTGGTTTTG